GGGTGTTGAAAACTGATTGTTGTCTAATTTTTGGTGTGTAGTGTGTAAGTGCTTGAATTGGTGATAGCTATGCATGTGCCTAGGCTGGTTTGGATGTGTATGGGCCTGAGTTGGTAGTGTGTGTGTGTATGCACCTAATTGATTTGTGTGTTTGTATATGTGCACTTGTGTCACACCGTCCTGTCTAACAGCACAATATTGAGATCCTGAGAACTGGCCTGACCCCACAGGGCAACAATACAACCGTGCCATCCCACAGTTATTTCAGTAGAGTATTTATACCACAATATCACATAAAAATAGCAGTAGCATGTCAGTAGGGCAAGTGGGATATGAAATTTATTGTGGTATTTTGCTCCTCCACTCAGAAGATAGAAGTAAATCACGTGTGGTGTATTCATATCCAGCTGTATTAGCTTGCTTGGTTTGTTATAGTTCCTTATTACAGCAATGCTCTTTAATAGATATAGGATAGGTGCTTATCAAAATTCAGTTGGCATGGTCTGTCAGCTACATTACCTATGTCCTGGCATCACTAAAGTAAATAGCATCACTCTCAGATAACTGAAGTCGCTGAAGTCTAATAGTGGCTAAGAACTCTTAAGTGGGATAGATGAGAAACAAATGAAAACAGAACCCTGCCTTACATGATAACTGTTTCCTAAACCTAAATCAGGTCTTTTTGTAAATTAAGTATATAAATTATATATGAAAAACAGACAATCAAATTTCAATTTAATTAGCTAATAAGCCATTTTTATTATCATGATTTTCAGAAGGTGAGCATTATTTTTTTTCATCCTGGTAGAAAGAGACTTTAGTTGGTTATAATTATCAGTGTAGTAAAAATAAAACATTTGACATGAAAAGTTAACATTTAACCATAGCTAACTGTGGTATCTGAATCAGTGGCAGTAATACTCTGTTCCAAGTGTGCTGAATATCTGTGTTACCTGAGATACTACTTTGTGGTGGTTTTTTGGCAGGGGCCAAAACAAGCAAACAAACAAACAAAAAAACAACAGTAGGCTAAGTTATGTAGGAATATACATAAGGTATTTCAGATTCAGTCTACATTCTTAGCAAACTGATGTCATTTTTTATGTAATCACTTTTCTCTGTAACACCTCACTTAATAGAAACGTTAATTCTATGCTGGATTCACAAAGGGGAATTTAGTGATCAGTGCCCTCTCTGGGAAGTGAAGGGTAGGAAGAAGCAGAGGAGGGAATTACATTTGGGACTCCCACACTCTGGTCTTACCATGGATCTATTGAATAAAATACTTGCCCTGCTAGGCATGTATTATGGAGTCTGATTTCTTAGGGACCCTCTGAGAACACATATGAGAAGATGGCCTATTGACTTTAGATCACAACTAAGCAGGGGCTTCAAGGATGTGAAAAGTCAGACAAACATATGTAAAGACTTTAGTACTTGATTATACAAGTACTAAACTAATGCATAGTAACTACGGCACATTAATGAACATGTGGACATTGACTACAGTGTCATGTGATGCACAATAAGTTCTTTCTCCCTTTAACTCTAAGTTGTTCATTGTTCATACCCAAAGTTTAGACTCAGCAGGCTAATATGGCAGCGATGTGCCCTAACCAGTTTGAAGATCTCGATCTTTATACTTTTGGTTGTGTTCTTTCACCTGCATTTAAATATAAGATCCTATTTTAGGTTCCTCTATTTTTAAAAACACTAAACACTCTAGTCAGAGACACAAAATCTTCCTTTTCCTAACTTGCTGCTCATCATTTATTTCATTACGTCAAGTCCTGGACACTGCACATTTATACTGCCGTATAAGAGGAACATATATAAATCGTACAGCCCTAAACCTGTATAACTCACTCAAAACTGATGTAGAATTACTGCAGTATAAAACTGGGTAAAACTTCTTCTGTGTACATGTCATGCATCTGAAGCCTAGCCTGGAACAGTCAAGGCAAATAGGCTCTTATCTGGTGACTGCTACCTAATGTCAAGGCAGAGTAATAGGAGCAACTGCATACAGTTATGCTGGGAATTATGGGCAGATAGGATTTATGTTTGCTAACATATCCTGGTCTAATTTAAATTATTGTACTTAACCAATAAAAATAGCTATAGCTATCTCTTTCACACTACTTTTACATTAACTTGCCCCTGCATGACCCCAAGCCATCCAAAATACTTCCCAAATCACATTGAGTTACATTGAGTTATCAACTCCTTATTCAGCTAATACATTATTGTGCTACTCAACACATTTACACTTCTTAGGTGTGTGCAGAAGTTACACTTTTCACTTTGGCAATCAGGCCACCAAAAGCACTCTGCAGCCACAATATAACAAACATTCAGGGCTGCAAAGTGCTTTAAAAATGGTGGGCTGCACAAAAAGTTAACTCGCATGTGATGTAGCATCAGATAGTTTCATAGATGAAGGTGCTCTAGTGCAGAGTGCCTTAGTGAACCTGTATACAGCTTCATATTGAGGGTTAATTTAGGACATTCTGCCTGCATCTCAGGGGTCTTTGTGGGATTAGGCTGGTGCTTTCACGTTAAGATAGACCCAGCCAAGTCCCCAGGTTGCACAGAGAGAAGACAGAAAAAGTTCTGTCTCCTCCCTGCGCAGCCAGGGGCCCTTGCCATGCTGCCCCGGCAACTACTTCTGCTGGGGTATTGAGAGGAGCCAGGCCAGGCTCATGTGGTAGGGAGGCTCTGTTCACCCCCAGCTGTAGCAAAGCTAACATGACAGCTGTATGCTGCTGCTGTCAAGAGGCTCAGGTTGGGGGAGTAGTGAAAAGGACCCCACCCCCCATCACCACCACACAGGCCCCACTCCCCAGCTACCCTGGCTAGGGTACTGCAGAAAGCTGGGCCAGATTCACGTAGCCTAGCTGGGTGTATTTGGAGGGAGGTGCTGCACTGCGGGGAAGCTCCATCCCCTGCCCCCCACCCCTCCAGCCACTGCTCACAGTTGCCAACTGGTGGGGGGGTGTCTGGGGAGAAGGGCAGTCTGGCAGCCTTCTGGGAGGCAGCCTCTGAGTCCCACCCCCACCCAAGATTGAGGCCATTGGGTTCAATGGTGCTCTAACTACGGTACTTTTGTGTAAAGTGTCATGAGTTAGAGTGCCTCTCCAACAGGCTGCCTAAACGTCTGTATGTACTCCTTGTCTTTATCTAAAAGCTTTCCACCATGAATCCCTTCTAAACTGCTGTTCTTTGTTCACTGTGAAACAGCCATAACAGTTTGACTGCACCAATTTTTTATACCTTGGAATTTTACTTACCAGAATTGAGCAGAATGATGGACTTAAGGCACACAAATTCCTCCCCCTGGAGATTCATCATACGAAATCGAGCAGCAGTAGCCAGCAGCATGTCAAAGATCTCCACCATGCCTTCCACACACTTCCCTTGATTTCTGTAAGACCAAAACCACAGAGCAAATCATTCACAGCTGTAATCAACACAGCACAGTGTTTTTCAACTCCAGATTGTCCCACCATAATTTGATTTCTTAAGTACCAACAGCATTCTCATTTTTAGCACTTGTTATGCTCACTTTGTACTCCCATGAGACAACTCTCCCCATGCAACCAAAATATAGAGAACTTTTCTCCCCAAAAGATGTTATTTATGAAATAGATTGTACACCAGTAGACATTATTGTAAAAGTGAGAGAGAATCACTGTTAGACTGTTGAGGCCAAATCTGTGTTTTAAGAAAAAAAGAGATTCAAAAAATAATATTTCCTTTTTTCTGTTCAAGTTTGTCACTGATTACAGTAATTTGTATTCTCTTCTTTTCCTTCGCTAACTATTTTTATTACCTCTTCCAAATTCCTTTTATTTTCCTTCCATAGAATTTCTTTTTATTTTGTTCTTATTTGCCTTGTAACCTTTAAAGGTAATCCCATTTCTCAGTATAATGATTCAGAAATTCCTTATTATGTAATGTGCATTCATGTCACAACATTAAAAAGTAATGCATCTCAAGACATATCTCAATGGTACTATAAAACCTACAACCAATGGCTCAGCAATGTCTTTTAACATACTCTTCCAATTCAATGACAATAAATAAATATGCTCAATTTATCAATAAAATGGTGAGGGGTTTCCCTCTAAATTTTAATCCTGTAAACTCAAGATAGACATAATTAATTAGAATTGTTATAAACAATTCTCCATGGATGAGGAACAAGGTGGAATTCCTACCATATTTATATCACCATATCTTAGCTAATTAGTCTGTCTGCTAATTGTTAGTAGTAAAATTTATTTTGACTTATCAAAAATCTGTGACTGTGGCCACACAGTGTAAGCAGCTTTTCTGATTAAAATGTCATTTTTACATAGCTCCTTTTCTAAAGAGGATGGCATTTTAAAGACCACTTGCATAAAAAACTGCAAAGTGGCTCTGAAATATCATGTACCCCCACCTCCTATAGTATTTATTTAAATTATGCAGACGTTGATTAAACAAACCAAAGGGACCAAAGTGTTAGAGCATAAAAGAGCTTGTTTATACCACAATGAGGATGAGCCCTGGACAAGATCTTCTCTGGAGGATCCTGTAGGAATGCTTCAAACCTGGAAACCCACACAGGAAGGTGCTCTGTAATGTGAATCTCAAGACCTTGGTTTCCAGCATGCCTGAGAGTGGCCACTAGGAGCCATCCAAGAATAGCCACAGTAGCATATTTCCAGCTTTGGAGGAGGAAGTGAGCAGGTAAGGCATACCCAGTAGCATCCCAGTCAGAGCTTGCTTCTGACAGGATGGACAAGCCCTAAGGACTTACCTGCTTGAGTTCAAAAATAAGGAACTGCTGCCTTTCACAAAATCCCTTAGATGCTGCTCAACCCTGAAGGTGCTTAAGATTTTCCATTGAGCATATACAAAACTGTCTAAAACCTGAAGATGTTTACCTGCTCAGCACCTTAGCTCATGACTAAGTCTTGGGGTAACAAAATAGGAATTTATGCCCTTCTAACCTGTGGGATCAATAGAAGAGGCATTCTCAGAGTCTACAGAAGATGACCAGGTAGAGAGGGAAGTAAAGCCAGACAACAGCACAGAAATTAAGACTCCACAGTGTAATGCAGGAGTCAGCAACATCTGCCCATGGGCTCAATCTAGCCCACAAAGCCATTGCATCCAGTCTGCAGAGCTGGAGCTGAAGTTGGTGTGTTGGTGGCAGGGTATTTTACACCTGCTGGATAGCTGAGACCTAAGCTTATGCCTGCACCACCGCTTCTCCTTACCCCTCTAGCTGCAGTATAGGTACAGCTCCAGTCCCAGTGTGGACAAAGACATCCAGTCCCAGTGTGGACAAAGCTCCCCCCTCCACTCTTCCCCACACCATCACCGACATATTGGTGAAGACCCATCACCAAAGCCTCCCAGCCGATATTGGACCAGAGCCAGGTTATTTCAGCCCATGGCTCAGAAAGGCTGCCAAATGCTCAGAAAGGCTGCCAAAATTGGTTAGGGCACTCCAGTCGTATTTGAGAGAACGCAGCTCAAGACCTGCTTTAGTGAATAGTGAAACAATTTAAAAAAGGAACATGCAGAGAGAGATTTACCCCTAAGGTAAATAGATACAGAATTTTAAGGCAGGGATGAATTGGAATTCAAAAGAGGAGTTTTCATTGTCAGATCAGAATTCCATTGTCAGATCAGCTGCAATAGCTAATGCAAAGGGAGTTGTCATCTGGGAAAAAAATCACAGCAAGACTACAGAAACTCTGCACAGAGAGAATAATGTTGAAAAATTGAATCGGTCAAGCCCAGGTGCACTTCTTTTCTGTTTGGACTTCAATATAATAAAGAGATCCCAGCTCCCCCCAGATATCTGCTGCTTGTTAAAATGTATATCCACAAAGAAAAAAAAAAACCTCTGTAAATGTTTCTTTATAAAATTTCAAGTAACAGACATCTTGATTTGTTCAGCGCCTTTGTTTTTGGCAAAAGGGCTAATGTTTCTGCTTATAACTGAAGGAGGATTAACCCCCCATTTCTGGAATTGACTAATGGTTCACAGGAGTCTTTGTTTCAGCACCTTGCAACTTCCTAAGAAAAACTGATTGACTATAGCTAGCAGTAGGAAAAAGGATGCCGTGATGGCCATTGGCACATGTTACATGTTTCCTTCTCAGACCCCAGGGAAGGTTTGGTATGACATTTAGATGTATCCTAAAAGCCATCAAGCTGCTATTAGACAGCATCCAGCATTTCAAAATATTACAGACCCTGGACTGACTGCCAAATTTGCATGTTGCTGTTTTCAAGGTATTCTTCCTGCCAAAGGGATTTTTCTAAGATATATGCCAACAAGCAACATTATAAAGTGTCATGATTTAACACACGGAACACCATCTTTTCTTATGAAGTAATGCTTTTTAGTCAATTAGTCACCTTTATGGTATTCTCAGTGAAAATATATTAATAGCAAGTAGATCAATATTCCAATCAAGATCAATATTATTATCAAGGATGCTTTGTCAGTGGCTATAACCGTATGTATAACAGGAGAAAACTGAAATATTTACAGTCATTTGTAATGATATGACCTAATTTTCAAACTCATTTATCTGATGCCAGCCAAGGTAAAGTACCTAAAAAAATTATCAGATTTCAGAAACCGAGAGTACCTGCAGATCCTATTTACATCAACAGCACTTGTTGATTCGACGGTTCTCTAAAATTAGAACATCATGGCCAGGGACAGACGTTCAAAAAACCTGAGCCTAAACTGATTCAGGCTTTACAGGTTAGTCTAACCTAGCTAGGCTGAACCAGTTTCTAATTGGAGAGACACATATACACAGACACCTCTTGGCATTAGCACACCACATGTCCATGGGGATGGAGTCCATGCTGTAGGAGATGGGAGGGGGGTGTCCTGCTTGAGTGAGCAGTGAGGAGGGGAAAGGGAGAGGGCAGGAGGAAGCCAGGCAGACCCTGCTGTACCTGCAGTCTCTGCCAGAGTTGCAGCCAGGGAGCAGAGGGGAGGGGCCAGCCCTGCTGTGGAACAGAGAGTCCCACCCAGCCCAGAGAGCATGCTGGGATGCTGGGGGTGTCTGGTTTAACTTAAACCAACATGGGGTCTGGGACAGACATTGCATAAACCAGTCTGACCCAAATCAGTTAAGTCTGCTACTACATTCAACCAGGTTAATCTCAAACTGGTTCTACCTATTTTCAAACTGGTTTATGTGCACTGAACATCTGTTCTGCTACACGTTTAAACCAGTTTCTGATCACTTAAACCAGATTATGTGTAATGTCTGCCCCTAGCTTTATTCAGGTACCTCAGTGTAGATTTGAAAATCTAGCTTATGAGTTCTGTGCTTTAGTTTCCAAGTGAAGTTGCTATGAGCTGTGCACTTCTCACCTTTGAAAATCAGGCCACCAATATAACGCTTCTCTGATAGTCAGGGGGATCAAATCATTTACTCATAGAAAACCCTCCTAAAGTTTCAGGGAAAAAGTGAGTCAATAGAAAAGAAAACAATGAAGTTCTGTACAGACTCCACCAGGGTATTTGTGTGCCTTACAATCAGAAAGATTTTTAAAACAAAATATAAAACTATTGTAATACTTACTCATAGTCTAATCCATTAATAGGAAGCATGCATTTAGAACTTAGGAGAAGAAGCTATGGGGAATTTGCTTCCTAGTTGACAAAGACCACTTGACTTTTCAAATTGTTGTCATCCATCCAGTGGGCATCCCTACTCATTTTGTCAAAAGCAGATCAGACAGCAAAGGCCTGTTTATGCAGAACAGACAGACTCTTCGAGGTTTCCCTCTATGTGGATGCTTAAAGTAGTTAACTAGTAATAGAAAGTTAATGAAAATAAGTGTGTAGAAATGCATGCATTAACTTCATAACTTATCTTAATTCCTCAGCATCAGGAATATCTATTACAAAGGTATAAGACCCTAATGTCACCTGATGATTTGTTGTTATGCTAAAGAGAAAAAGGATTCTGAGTGAGTGGCTAGAAAAGCTCTTGAAAGATTTTAGTGCCAGAAGGGTTGACTAAAAGCAGTTATTTATTACTTGCTTTTAACCAAGTATCCAAATATACTGCCAATACCTTAGTAAAGTATAAGAACAGTCTTTAAATCACCCTCTTTGGATGTTGTTTCCTCTGCTAATGCACTGTTAAGTTTTAGATTTGAGTGCTCTGGCTATAGCTTGTGTTCAAATCTGGCACTAAATACAGATACACAGGAAAAAATAGCACTCTGAGTTTTTCATATTTTGAAAATTCTTCTGTTTTGATTCAGCTTGAATTTCAGAAAAGGCTTTGGACAACGTGGAAGTTCTGTTTTATTCATAGTGGCTTGTTTGTTCCTAAACCATCATTTTCTACCACTTTCATCTTTTGTTCCATCTTGCTCTCCTATCTA